GCTTCTGTCAGATACACTAACTACACGAAAACTCACAAACTTTCACTGCTACTGCTTCCTACCTCTGGGAAACTACCCGAGAACAACGGCCGTTCCCTTGCCCCCTTGGAAACTCAATCTCATCAATCAAAACGCGTCATACATCTCCCATTTCTTCATTTCGATAACACATAACAAATTTTTACCTACAATTACAAAATTTCCGATCATTTATTTATAAACTAATCTTTTTCTACCAATTCTTATGAACTAATAAAAACATATCTTTCTAAAATCTATTCTATTGTCCTAATTACTGCACAAATTTATTTGGAAAAACCCGCTTCCATTGTCTAGGATTTCACTTAAGCTTATTCACGTCACTCAAATATTTTAACAAAGAAAATAATTTATGCATATCTTACGTTTTGTTCAATATAGGTAATCCAAAGATAAAAGACTTTCATTCTTCGAAATGTTTGTTAGTTTATTATTCGATTTATCTGAATTATTTCTTGATTTTACATATCATACATATATATTAATATATATATATAATATATATATTATATATATATAATATTTACCTTATGCTATATATGCTATACATATAAAAAGCAAAAATATCTATATCTATTATCATCCGTAGTGCCCTATGATATCTCGTATGTCGCTATACGTTCATTAATAATGAAGATACCGTGTAGTGCCTTTTTTAGTAGTTGCCTTGTTTGTTTTTTCTATCTAAATATATTCGTTATATCGGCCCCTTTCATTTGATATGTCTCATGTTAGGAGTCAATTAGTTGTTTATTTTGTATACAGCCAGTGGCCTTCTTTAAGTCAATAAATCAAAATTTGTCTTATAGTAAATCTATTTGTATCTATAGTGCCCTATGATATCTCGTGTGCTATACATTCATTAATAATGAAGATACTGTGTAGTTCTTTTGGTAGTCGCCTTGTTTGTTTTTTTTATAATATATTAATTAATATATTTATAGCGATATTAATATATTCGTCATACCCTTCCCTTTCATTTAACGTATCACACGCTCCAATCGCACCAATAATAAAGGAGATATAATGTAATGCCCTCTTAACAATGCCGCAATGTGTGTTTTTTCTGTCTCAACATATTCACTAGCCCCTCTCCTTTCCAATGATGCATCATATGTCCCGATCCGACGAACTATTCTACCCCCACCACAAAACGCTCAAAAAATGAGCAGAATGAACCTTAGCATCTTTCTTATGGGATTTTTACATAGAAAATGAAGCAGAAACGGTACAACAGCGTTTTTACAGGTACAGCTTTTAAAATTAAAAAGTGCTAAAAACACACAAAAAGTGCTTTGTACAGCTTTTACTTAATTTAAATAAATTGTTATTTAATTTTACGTAATTCTGTTTAACTTGATTTAATTTTGTTTAATTCTATTTAATTTTATGTAATCTTGAATTTTTAGCAATTTTGCGAAAAAATTAATTACTGTGAAGTAGTAAAATTTCTGATTAACAATATTTGAATCATCAATTTGTAGAATGAATTAGCAATAAATCAACAATAAGATTTTAAGAACAATCTTTCTTGTTTGCTGTAGGTCTATCGTATTTATATAAAAAGGTTAAATTACCAGTGTCACTTTTATAATTGGCAAAATCCCTATCCATTTCTACGGCGTCACTAAGTGGTTCATTGTAAAATTCTGTAAATGGTATATAAGGCGTCCGGCAGTCTAATACATGGATTCCTAATTCTTCAGCTAGAGGATCAGAAGGCAGCGTATTTTTTGGTTTGATAGTTATTCCTTCGCTAAAATCAGAAAGACTAGGAGACCTCAATGCCGGTGATTCTAACACTCCACCCAAAATATTTGCATAATATACAATCTAAAACAACAAAAAGATCATTATATACGGAAATTTTATTAATATTCAATAGTATGTTATATTTTTAGCTTCTATTTTTCGAAGCTCCGATGAAGGACATGTTAAAAGAGAAGAGTTAGGGCGAGAATTGAAACATGCACCGGATGGTAGCAATCTTTTTCCAATCCTGTTGACCGAGGAGCAAAACAACATCGAGTCATGTTTGTCAGAAGCTGAAAGGTTAAATTGTGGCGAACACTTTTAAAACGTACCATTACTCTCCGACACTGCGGCCTTTCTGCTTATCAGATCTAGCCCCCGTTGACTTTTTTGTTTCTGAAGTTCCTTTCAACAAAGGAAACGACATTGGGAGGGATATATAGGGGTTAATAAATAAATTAAGGTGTTAATATATAAAGGGGATAATATTGAATGCTTTATAATATTTTTAAATGAAAATTTTTTGGCCTGAATTTTGAACTGTTTTATTATACCGCGTGTGTTAAGAAAAATACTTTTCAATTATCATAGAAAGAACCAGCAAGAATTAAGAAGCTAGCACAAAACCTTATAAAACGTGTTGTCAACTTAAGAAAGGGTACCAGTGATCTAGAACGTTGTAGCACCGGAATGATGATGAAAAAACAATTTAATATCAGACGATTTTTAAAAAATATATCTAACCTTCATTAATTTTGTTGCAGATGTAATAACATTTTCGTCTTGAACGAAAAAATCCCTTTGAAAGGGAGTCATTATCACACGTAAAGTTATCAATTGTTGTAGATTCTCTAATATACTTTTAATACTTGTTCGCGCTACTCCAGACCACTGTCGTGCTAAACTTGCTTGTACTTCAATGGGCAGTCTTTGAGCTGCCCTACAAATTGCTGGAAGGGCTGTTTCTAACAAATCTCCAGAACCTAAAAAGATTAAATTCTCTTACAATACATTTTATAAATTCTTAAATTACTAAACAATCGAAATACATCAAAATAACTATCAGTGTCCTATATACTCTTATTCGTGTTGTTAGAGATAGACTTATGTTAGCTAAGTATTTTGATAATGATAGATTTAAAGGCGACTAAAAGATGGTACATCGTACACAATGCTGATTGATGTTAAACTCGCCTGCTTTTCGAACAATTTTATTACTGTAAAAATCTGGTTAATAATCGAACTTCCGTGCCCGAAACCTGCATGATATTCTCATAGGCATGCTTCGGTGTATGGGTTCAATCTTTCATGAAAGATATTTAACAATAATGCGGTGTTTAATAGGGTAGTTATCGCATTCTAGTTGATTCCTCTTTTTGTACAATGGTCATAGTTTTCGTAGGCTCCATTTCTCATAAATTTGTACCTCAGACCAAATTTTACAAAATATATTGGTGATCTGATTGGCGTTTTCAAATAATTCTGCTCGGATACCATCACTGTCTGGTAATTTGTATTTAATGGAAGTGTTAGTGGACCTAAATTGGTAGGATATACTTTTAGAAAATTGTATGCGAAAAGGAATATATGATTTGTATAATGTAGAATTTTTTAACGTAGTTATATTGTTTTCAAAATATTAATAATATTAATTTCAAATATTATTAGACTTTATTTTAATTTTTGTCTTATGAATCAAAGACAAATATGATTAGGCAAATGAAACCATTGGTTTCGCAATCAATATCCCAACCACAAACACACATAAATTGGTAGGATCTTTTAAACAAGTATTTATAACAGTTTAATTCATTATAAACAGTGATAAAAATACTTCATTTTTATTGCACAGCCTATTCTAATTAGTTTTTTTTTCGATAGCTCTTTTATTATGGGATTTTATTATGGTTTATTATGGCACAGCGCATAGACATTAAGGAGGACAATAATAAAATCAAAAGTAGAGTAGCGAAAATGAATATATTAAGCAGAATAGCAAGAAGGGACCACATAAGAAACGAAGACGAGAGATAAATGTGGGTGCACGATGTAGTAAGAGGAGGAAAGTCGACGTCAATAATATAGTCACCTGAGAAGACGGGAGGAAGGCACACTACCGATAATTATACAAGGAGGAAAACCAGTCCATATGTTTTGCTTTTTTCCTCCAGACATCTCATTATGTCTTCCATTTCTTCTTGATTTGCCGCGAATATTTTAAAGTGTCGTCAGCATATCTCAAGTTATTGATTTTTTGACCTCCTACTGATATTCCGCCCTTTCATCCGTCTAGTACCTTTCGCATAATGTGTTCGCTGTAGATATTAAACAGAGTTGGCGAGATTATACATCCCTGCCTGACACCTGCCTCTGTTCTGAAATGATCGGAATGGATGTTGTTTATTTTTACTGTGCACTTATTGTTTTCATATAGACTTCTAATTAGTTGAATTAGGTGGTGGGGTGTTCCCATTTCCGCTAGTATGGACCATAGCTGCTGCCATTTGACTTTATCGAGGCCTTTCTGTAATCCGCAAAGCACATAAGCATAGGAGTATTTAATTCACGAGTTTTTTCGATTAGCTGTCTGACATTAAGGATGTGTTCTCTTGTGCCTTTTCCTGGAACAAACCCCGCTTGTTCTTCTGATATCTGAGGCAATAGAAAAGCTTTAGTCTTTCATGTATTACATGAAGTAGAACCTTGCTTGCATGGGATATTAGGTTACCGTTCTGTAGTTGCTGCAATCTAGCGAGTTCCTTTTTTAATATAGGGGAGAAATTGGATGTTGTCCAGTCGTTGGGCTACTCTCCGGTTTCCCAAATCTTTTTGCAGATCGTATGCATAACATTTACTCCAACATCTCCAGTCTCTTTTAAAACTTCTGCGGTGATCTGGTCTGCGCCAGGAGATTTTCTATTTTTCAACTTTTTGATTGCTTTCTCTACCTCTGACTTTAGAATGTTTGGTTCTCTCTCTGCAGTGAACTCATCGTGATTTGCATTCTGGGGATCATCTGCATATAGACTTTGACAATCTTTTCTCCATACCTCCGCAAACCCTTTCTCGTCATTTATAATATGTTGGTTTTGATTCATTATTGTTTGTGTGATTGGTTTCAATTCCCTGGATAGATATCGGACTTTGTTATATAGCTCATGGGATTCATACCGTTTGCATGTCTCTCTAGTTCTTCGCATTCTTCATTTATATATTTATTTTTAACCTTGCTAATTCGTTTTTGTTGCTGTCGTTTTGATATATGAGAGATTTGATTCTCCTTCGCTCTTCGAGAAGTTGCAGCGTTCTGTCTGTCATCCAGTGTTTTCTTTTGATGATTTTTTTCGATTCTGGTTCTTTCTACAGAGGTTTCTATGGCATTTCTGAAACCTTTTCGCATTTCTTCTGGGTTGTCTTGTATGTTCAACATACTAGTTTCCTTTAATGCATCTCTAAATGTTTTCGGATTTGCAATGTCCAGCCTATTTTGATTTTGGTGCGGCATTGTTCTCCGGAACCGATATTAGAAGATTAAAAAGAAGATATTTAGGTAAGTTTGAAAGATAGAGCAAAAAAATAACACAAACTATTATCCATTAACAAATGGAAATAATATCGTAAACAGAAGATTCTAGATATATTTATGTCTTACTTTGTTTAAATTGTATGCCAGAATTATGGAAACATATAGTTTACTCAGAAGATAGTCGACAGGGTCTTATTTAATATGACCATCAATATCAAAACAGACAGTCAGGCAGTTTTAAGGAAGCTGGAAGTATCCAGATTTGGCTTCAAGTTAGTTCTGGATTGCAAAAGGACTGTAACTGCCATTACAATGAGCAACAAGATCAATGTAGGCAACTCCTCTTGCAGATATACTTGAAGTGTATTATACCTATATACCTCTAATTTATTACAAATTTTACAGAGTAGAGGAGCTGTATTAGACAAATTACTGCTTCGTGGTTTATCATTATCTTAGAAGGGGTCACTTTAGCAATATATTTTGGATTATTAATCCCATATAAATACAATATTGAGCCAGGATACGTTATTAAACTCACTGTAAGAAAATTGTAGCTTTCATCAAGAGTAGAGTTTAATGAAACGACACGGTTTGGCACGAAGGTTCCATGACCAAACACTAAAATATAGTAATGTCTTGACTGAACCAAAAAGAACAGTATTATGAAAATAAAAGAATTTAATAGAAGATTAAGAAGTTCATAGTTATAAAATCATAACTAAACATATACCGATAAAGTCTATAAAATAGTCAGGACACGCATAAAGGTACAAAAATATAGCGGATATTACAAACAGGTGGAGAGACAAAAATTAATCACAAATATGGTAGTAAGTTAGAAACGAACATTAAATTCATCATCATAAGTTATTTATTTTTTTATTTGTTATTAAATTGTTTACTTACCCAAAGCTGGAATTTCAAAAACAATAAGAAGAACATTAACAATATCTTCATGGTTTCCTTTATCTTTCCTGGTAGGTAAGTCCATTTGAAGATTCCCAGCAAGCGTGACTAAAGCATTAACAAGAGCGTTTTCGAAAATTGACGTTTTTAATTTGAAAAGGGCAGAAAATGCCCTTCGAACCGAAGGAATATCAACTGGTGCTAAAGAATTTTGACTCGATTCAGCGCAGCTATCTTCATCTTTATCTTTTTCACCTTCCAGACTTCGCACTTCTTCTTTGTTTAATGTTTTTATGTCTAAAATGTTGAGTATAAATTAGTTGTATAAGCCTACGAAAAATACATTTATTACTAAAAGTTATAAGAATATGAGAAGAACATCTGCTCCAGAATATAAAAATAAAGACCTGCTTCCAGAAAACTGGGAAGACATAAACATATAGTTAATTCGTTGCACAAAGGGGAACGTACGAGATAAAAATAAAGGGAATCACAATATGAAGGCCTATTGATCCCAAATTCCATAAGGTTCTTCCTTGCACGTAGATACCAAGTTTCAAGACTCTAGGACGCTTATTTTACGAAAATGAAAAGTAATAAAAATATGATAAGATGAAAAAGAAGACGTCTTGACAAATATTCAATACGGTTTTGCCTTACATGAAGTATAACCTATGTATCAAGTTTTAAGACTAGTTTTTTTTTTTTTTCAAGAATGTGAAGAAGAATAAACCTGGTGTATAGGAGATAGTCAATTCTCAAAATCTTAGGTAGATTTTATTGTAACAAAATTGTAGGCTACCAGTTTTGAGGCTTACAATATATGCCCCATTTTCAGGCCACACTATAAAGGTCTTAGTTTTACAAGACAATACACTTGTTACACAATACCAACAAATGTTAATGTCAAAAATTAAGTAAATCAAAATTATGCCAGCAACTAGAACCTCAATTGAGTAAGAGAGTTGATATTATATAGTGAGGTCCTAAAGTAACGGATTAATTCATTTTACACAATAGTTTAAATACAAATGGAAAATTCTGAGACAGGTAAATTTTTATATATTTAAATACACTTTCCCAATGATATTATTTAAATGTATCTTGATCTCCCTAGGGGTAGTAGTTACACCTGAGGAAATTTTAAAGAAAAGGGGTAGCGTGTGATACAGCATTTAAAAATGGTTTCAATGCTGTATTCAGCAATGTACTTATTTTTATTTTTTGAACTACGGATAGTCAAGGAAAAAATTATTCTATTTCATTCCATCAACAAGCCATTAAGTCGAATATCTTTCACTATTGACTTATCTATTACTTGTCAAAAAAGTAACATAAGATTTTTGTATATTTTGTAAAATATTAGTGCCATAGCACAAAATGTAAGTTTATTAACACTAATTACTACAATTTTATTCTAAATAATATGCTCAAAATAATCACCGTTCATCTCTTGAGAAAAAATAGACGGTGTTGAAAATCTTCGATAACATTTTGGAACATCTAGCGGTGATTTCATTAATTTCTTGCCTTATGTGGTGCTTTAAATCATCAATATTGCTTGGTTTCATCTTGTACATTTTTGTTTTTAAAAAGCCCCACAAGAAATAAACAGTGGAGTCAGATCGCAAGAACGGAGTGGCCATTCCAAGTTCGCCACGTCTACCGATCCATCGATGCGGAAAAGTATTATCAAGAAATTTTCGTACTGCTGCTGCATAAAGTAGTGGAGCTCCATCGTGTTGAAACCATATATTTCTGTTAATCTCTGCGGGGTTAACAGTATCTGGGAAGCGTTGTCGTAAATATATATATATATATATATTATATATATATATATATATATATATAATATATATATATATATATATATTTATATATATAAGCGAGGTTCCTACAGCCTCTGCCGTTTCTCGCATTTCGACCGCCATCGTTTTCTGTCCATCCATTCGTCTTCTCTGATTGCTCTATCTCTCATTATGTGCCGTACATTTTCTTCCCAGGCAACTGAAGGCCTTCCCCTTCTTCTTCTTTGTTGTGGTATGTATGTAAGCTTTTTTTGGCCATCTATCTTCATTCATTCGTTTCACGTGACCATACCACACTAGTTGTCTCGTTTCAATTCTATCTACACTGGAATATACAGTATTTGTCCTCCCTCTAATATCTTCATTCCTGATGTGATCTTTTTTGGATATACCACACGCTCTCCTTAGAAAATCCATTTCTACTACTTCTATTCTTTTTCTATCCTTCTGCGTTATCTGCCAAACCTCTGCCCCATAAGTCATAATAGGCTCTACCAAGGTTCGATAGATTGTCAATTTCGTTTCTTGTCTAATATCTTTAGACCAAAGTAGAGAGTTTAGAATGTTTACCACTTTTTTTCCCTGCTGTGTTCTGTTTTCGATGTCTCTTTTGGTGGTGCCTTCTTTAGATATTATAGATCCGAGATATTTATATTCATTGCATGTTTTTGTGTTTCTAATTTCTAAACTCTGGATCTTCTTCACCATCTCCTATTTTAAGATACTCTGTCTTTGCCATATTCATATTGAGGCCCCATTTTTCATATTCTTTCTTTAGTTTTCTAAACATGTAGTCCATGTCTTCCTCGTCATTCGCTACGACTACCTGATCATCTGCGAAAAATAAAGCTGTTAGACATTCACCACCGCCTATGTCTATTCCCATTCCGGATACTTGTTTTCTCCACTGCTCTAGCGATGATTGAATATATATTTTAAACAGGGTCGGAGACACAACATCCTTGTTTAAGCCCCTTGGTTATTGGAAATGATTCAGATATAAAGTTTCCTTCTTTAACGACACTTCTTGCATTTTTGTATATATTTGCGATAGCATCCACATACTCTCTACTGAGACCTACTTTCGTCAATGTATAAAATAGTTTTTTCAAAGGTACCGTATCATATGCCTTCTCTAAATCTACAAACAATAGGTGGGTAGATAGATTCCTTGCCTTCCGTTTTTCGATTACCTGCTGCAGAACGAATATATTATCAATGCACGATCTTCCTGCCCGAAATCCATTTTGTTCCTCTAGTCTTCATATTCTGATTCAATTCGTTTTTTTATTATTCGACCGTACAACCTCCCAACTGAGCTAGTAACAGTTATTCCTCTACTAATTAGAGCAATTGCGTTTTATCCCCTTTTTTGTATATTGAGCTGATGTATCCAACATTCCAATCATCAGGGATATTTTGTCCTTTTAAGCATTTATTAAATAGTTTAACCATCATCTCGTGTAATATTTTTGGTCCATACTTTACCAACTCAATTGGGATGTCTCCAGGTCCTGCTGCTTTACCATTTTTCGATCTTTTGAGGGCATCGCTTAACTCTCCGGTTGTTATCTCAATTATTTGTGTATGTTCAGATATTTCTTCCATTTCGATATCTTGGAATTTACGTCTATCCTCTGTCAATAAGACCTCATAATGCTGTTTCCACTGTTTCAGATCTATTAATTTTAAGTTAGATTTTTCCTTTCCTTCCCTCCGGAGAGACTTTATCACCTTCCACGCTTGCCCAACTCTTGTTCCACCCATATACCTATCCACCTCTGCACATCTTCGATCCCACATCTCATTTTTACTTTTCACTACTTCTCTTTTTACATGTCTATTTAATTTGTGATATATCTTGTAATCTTCGTCCTTTCTCGTTGACATCCATTTCTGATAAGCAGTTTTCTTCTTGTTGACCAAAGTTTGCATATTCTCCGACCACCATTCTTGATTTTTTGTTTCATGTTTGTCTTTATACCCCAAAGCTTCACTTGCAGCCTCATGAATGTACTTTTTAAGTTGTTGGTATAATTCTTCCGCTGTTATATTTTCTCGATCCACATTTTGTAATTTTGTGGCCAGTCGTAATTTGTAAAGAAATTTTGTTGAATCTTCTTTTAAGCTTTCTAGGTTATATTTAGGAGATGTTACTTTTTGTCCCTTTTCTATATTCTGTACCTGAGTGTTATTGTTTTTGCGATAGTTAACTATCACATTGGCCATAAGTAAATGATGGTCGGATCCACATTCTGATCCACGGTATACCCTTACGTCAGTTGTTTTCAGCTGGGAAGTTTGACGTTGGATTACAAAGTCGATTATCGAGCGCAGATTCCTAGTAGGTTGTATCCATGTAAATTTGTGGATGTCTCTATGTTGAAAAAATCCATTCATAATTTTGAGAGACATTATTTCACAAAAATCTCTAAGACGCATTCCGTTGTCATTGGTTATTTGTTCTCCATATCTTCCTACGACTCTGCTATTTTCTTCTGTCCCTACTCTGCCGTTTTAAATCGCGTTGTCGTAAATCATTTGCTAAAACAGTTTGTAGAGACTTCAAATATCTCGGCCCAGTTACTGTTACCTTCCAAGAAGTATGGTCCAACTATTGTGTTATTTAATATGCCAGCCCAGACGTTCACTTCCTGAGGATACCGAGTGTGACCCTCCCTAATCTAGTACGGATTTTGCGTACTACAATATCAACAATTTTGTTTGTTGACTGTTCAATATAGGGTAAATGGTAAATGTTGCCTCTCACCAGAGAAAAGAATATTTTTGGGAAACTTTACAGAATTGTGATCTGCGATATGGATCATCTTCATTTAGTACTGCAGTAGTTGTCAAATTCTCAATACAGAAGTTTTACTTATATCATTATCACCAGCAAATTCTCTTGTTGGTTTATGTGGATTTTCCTCAACAGTTAACAATACATTAAATTTCTTTTCATCATCCAATTTTGATCTACAGGTTTGGGAAGATCTTTGACAGTTCCAAATTCTCGGAATTTTTTTTCTATTCGATTCAAGCTAGACTGGGAAATATGACGGTCAGGATACTTTTCATTAAATAATCTGCATTCCTCAGAATGCGTTCTTGTTTTATCATTCACTCCAATCAATAATAATATTTCAATTCTCTGGGTTTCAGTTAAGCTCATTTTAAAATAATTTAGAAGAATGTAACAATAAAACACTGAAAACTTTGTTTTCAAATTTCCACAAAATTTATTTTAACTATTATCACTACAGCTGTTTCGGCTGATAGCCTTTCTCAAGTGATCTATTTTTGGCTTGGGTTTACAAATTTATAGTCTCTAATGAAATAGGTTGAGGAGGGGAGAACTGTTTGTCTCAAGTTGGTCATTCAGAATTATATCTGTGTTTTTTAATTTGTTGATTTCCATAGATTCTAACAAAGATAGCTTAAGGCCTTTATTTTGAATGTGAAGAATTTTAAATTTGTCATTAAAAGAATGATTATGATCTAGAAGGTGAAGTGCGTATGTCGAATCTGTTTTTCTATTATTGAAAGCCCTTTTATGTTCTGCTATTCGTTTCTCAAAGTTTCTACCAGTTTGACCGATGTAAGTTTTTGGGCAGTCGCCACATTGAATTTTATACACACCACTATTTAAGTGTTTTTTATTTTGGCTCTTGTTATTTTTAATATATTTACCTAGGTTGTTATTTGTTCGGAAAGCTGGTGTTATTCCGTTCTTTTTTATGTGTTTGGCAATTTTTATGTGTTTTTATTTTTCAAAACATCCCGTATTCAAACAATTTTTATATTGGTGGAGATACGTAGACGACGTACTGGTATGTTTCACAGGAACTAACAGGCAACTCGACCAATTTTCATCGTATATTAATTCACTTCATAGTCATATTGAATTTACAATAGAAACAGAACAAAATCAATGCATAAATTTTTTAGATTTAAAAATTAGCAGACTTCAAAACAAACATGACTTCTCCATATTTCACAAACCTACCCATACTGACACGACTATACACAATTCATCATCCCATCCAACACAACATAAACTGGCAGCTTATCATAGTATGTTACATAGATTAACAGAAATTCCGATGTCAAAAGACAACTTTGAGACAGAATTAAATATAATTACGCAAATAGCAGTAAACAACGGATACAACGAACAAACAATTAATAAAATGTTAAATCAAAAACTACACAAGAAAGCCCTGAAAATAGTATTTCCGCCACCAGAGAAAAAACCCAGTACCTTCTGCTCGATTACATATACAGGCAAAATAACAACAAAAATTGCCAAACGCATAAAAAAGAAAGGAATAACACCAGCTTTCCGAACAAATAACAACCTAGGTAAATATATTAAAAATAACACGAGCCAAAATAAAAAACACTTAAATAGTGGTGTGTATAAAATTCAATGTGGCGACTGCCCAAAAACTTACATCGGTCAAACTGGTAGAAACTTTGAGAATCGAATAGCAGAACATAAAAGGGCTTTCAATAATAGAAAAACAGATTCGACATACGCACTTCACCTTCTAGATCATAATCATTCTTTTAATGACAAATTTAAAATTCTTCACATTCAAAATAAAGGCCTTAAGCTATCTTTGTTAGAATCTATGGAAATCAACAAATTAAAAAACACAGATATAATTCTGAATGACCAACTTGAGACAAACAGTTCTCCCCTCCTCAACCTATTTCATTAGAGACTATAAATTTGTAAACCCAAGCCAAAAATAGATCACTTGAGAAAGGCTATCAGCCGAAACAACTGTAGTGATAATAGTTAAAATAAATTTTGTGGAAGTTTGAAAACAAAGTTTTCAGTGTTTTATTGTTACATAAAATGAATTTCCATCAAGTAACGGTCGAATCCATCAATTATTTAGAAGAATGTTTAAAAATTCCTAATGAAACGTATTTTCACTTCAAATTATTAAGGAGATCTAGCAAACTAATATTAATTTTAAATACGTTTAATCTTTTTGTAATATGTAAATGTCATACAAGTTCCGATGTTACTTTTTTGACATTTTTAACAAAACAAGCAATAGACCAGTCAATCGTGAAAGTATTTGACTAGATGGCTTTTTGATGGAATGAAATAAAATCATTGTTTCTTTGACTATTCCTACACAAAAAAGAAAAATATTTACATTGCTGAATAAAGCATTGAAAACCCTTTTAAACGCTATATAATACAGTACTCCTTTTCATTTAAAATTTTATCAGGGGTAACTACTACCCCTAGAGAGTTCAAGATACATTTGAATACATTTGAATGAAGATATTGTGGGAAAATGTATTTTCATATATAAAAATTAATCTGTTTCAGGATTTTCCATTTGTATTCATAATATTGTATAAAATGAATTTATCAGTTACTTTAGGACCTCATTGTGTATGTTAAAAGAATTCAAACCCAGAATAACAGCATGTAAGACTGAGATGGTTCCATAATTAGTGACAAAGAACAGATACTAAACAGGTGAGCGAATCATTTTGAAGAACTGCTTAGCGACAGTCGTGAAAAAGACCAAATAGAAATTACTTTGCCTGAAATGGATGAAGACGCTCAAGAGCCGCCCCCCCACCGAAGAAGAAATTAGAGAAGCCATTTCAAAACTGAAAAATAACAAAACCCCTAGTTTGGACAATCTTCTTGCCGAACTCTTTAAACATGGTGTACCGTTTTTAAGCACATGCATAAATTAGTAAGCGAAATATGGCAACGGAAGAAAACGCCCTTCTTCTTTAGGTGCCGTCTCCCAATCGCAGGTTGGATATCATCACTATCTTTACTTTATCTACTGCTGCTCTAAAGAGTTCTATAGAACTGCATTTAAACCAGTCCCTTAAATTCTTCAACCATGACACTCTCCTTCTTCCTATACTCCTTCCTCCTCTTATCTTTCCCTGTATTATCAGCCTTAGCAGATCATATCGCTGTCCCCTCGTTACGTGTCCCAGATATTGTAACTTTCTTATTTTTATTGTGTTTATTATTTCGCATTCTTGGTCCATTTCTCGCAATACTTCCGTATTAGTTTTCTTCTGTGTCCATGCTATTCTAAACATCCTCCTGTAACACCACATTTCAAAGGACTGTAACTTAATTATGTGTTCTTGCTTCAATGTCCAGCTTTCAAGTCCATATTGCAGTATCGAAAACACGTAGTATCTCAGTGCTTTTACTCTCAGTTTTAATCTAAGATCTATGTTGCAGAGAATTGTTTTCATTTTTACAAACGCATTTCTTGCTATTTCTATCCTAGATCTTATTTCGGTTATTTGATCATTATTGTCTGAAAACCAGGTTCCTAGGTATTTGTATTTATCAACCCTTTCTATCGTTACATTTCCCACATGTATGTTCCCAAGTGTAAAAGGAAACGCGCGCAGACTGGAAATTAGGTGTAATGCACCCTCTTCACAAAAAGGGAGATATGATGGTATCTGATAAATATAGAGGCATCATTCTACTTAACGTGGCATATAAAGTATTGTTCAACGTATTGTACAGAAGATTGATCTCCTATGCTGAAAAAATAGTTGGTAACTACCAGTGCGGTTTCCGACCCAATAAATCAACAACGGATCAAATCTTCACAGTCAGGCAGATTCTTGAGAAAACGCTTGAGTTCGGAGTCGACACCCACCACATATTCGTGGATTTCAAAGCCGCATACGACTCAGTCAACAGACAAAAACTTCTACAGGATATGGTGGAATTTCAAATACCGCTTCATCTTGTTCAACTAACGGAACTTACACTCACAGGCGTAGAGAGTGTAGTCAGAATCCAAAACGACTTTTCAAGACCCTTCCATTGTAAAAATGGACTGAGACAGGGGGGTGGACTGTCGTGTCTCTTATTTAATCTTGCACTAGAAAAAGTAATTCGAGAGTGCCATATTAATACGAATGGCACCATCTTCAATAAATCTGTACAAGTGGTCGGATACGCAGATGACATAGACATTATTGCTAGGTCCACAGAATCTCTGATCGAAGCATTTAGACCATAAAGGGCGTCTGCACTGAGAATGGGATTAAAAATAAACGCACAGAAGACCAAGTATATGTATTGTAGATATGTATTACCTAGATCAGACAACCAGATCCCTAGACTATTAATTGATGATCTGGAACTGGAAGGTGTGAACACCTTCGTCTACCTGGGCTCGCTGCTGACCAAAGACAACAATGTCAGCGAAGAAATTAAAAGAAGAATAGTGCTTGCCAAAAAGTGCTATTATGGCTTGAGGAAACAGATGGCCCCAAAAACTACACACAAAAATTGAAATTACCATATATAAAACACTAATAAGGCTAGTGTTAACATACGGGTCAGAAACCGTGGTCACTTACACAGAACGACCAAGAATTGCTTAAACGTTTCGAGAGAAAACTTCTAAGGAAAATATATGGAGGATTCCAAGAACAGAGTTTGTGGCGTAGGCGCTACAACTTTGAATTATATAGAAGTTTTGGGGAACCTGACGTTGTAAAATGTATTAAATTAGCACGCCTTCGATGTATAGGACATGTAATTAGGCGAGATGAAGATACAACGATCAGAAAAATTTTTGACCCAAGGGGACCAGTGGGAAGACGAGCCAGAGGAAAACCAAAACTTAGGTATCAAGATAACATAAAGGATGATCTAAAATCCATCGCATTTAAAGCATGAGGAAGAGTTGCCAGAGACAGGGGCGAATGGAAGATTGTTCTGGAGAAGGCTTTGGCTCATGACGAGCTGTAATGCCATTGATGATGATGTATATGTTAAAATGTTAATTTAATAAAAAATGTAAATTTAATTTAAAGAAAATAGGCACAACATAAAATATATCGAGACATCAGAGGCAATGATTATAACCATTCTGATGGAAACTGTACAATCCAGTCAGTCACAATATATGATCCCAGTCACTTTAACAACCACCCAGCAAAATTAGCTTGGCACTAACACAGTCTTATGACGAACAGGCTACTTCTTTATCTTCGGACATAAAGTTAATGATACACTCCATATTCATGATTCTCTTTAACGTCTTCCATGATAAAAGGAAATAAGGAATGACATAATATAATAAGGTAGCTCATAAAATGTTTGGTCACGCACTTTAAACGTCAGTCTACCAGACCTCCACTAAAAATCTCAGCTACAGTTACCCTCTATACATTTACCAAAGAAAGTCTGAAAATGAGGAAAGTTCGAGAAATCTGAAAAGTAACTTTTTTATGGTATACAGTGAACTTAAATTTGTATATCAATAACACCTAATAGCGTAATTGATACGTTTACTCCTAATCTAGTTCAAATAACTTAGCATTACTGGTTAAATCAATAACAAAAAATCAATTAATTTGACTTGCCTGCATTTTCTAAATCCGCTGATGACTTTGTTGGTGTGCTGGTTTCCTGAGGAAAACTTTTTGATAGATTTTCAATACTACTAAAAATTTCACCTAACGTTCGAATTAATGGAGAATAACTATTATTGCCCTCGCATTCGTCGATTATGTCATATAAAGCTTGTTCTGTCAAATGTGTGGGTACGGGAGCTAAAAAATAATATTAATTTATATTAAAAAATTATGTACACATATTCTATTATATTTTAGTGTTTTTTATTTTATTAAAAAGTCTTCAAATGTTTATACCTACATTACCTTGTACATTTTACGTGAAATATTATCTTATATAGTACTGTAACACTGAGGCACTACAGTATTACTGTATTGTTGAGAAATATGGTTTTACTAAAATAGTTTTTCTTTTCGTTATCATCCCCTAAGTAATTTCATGAATCTTGATTCGACAGTTATACAGATCGCTATAGTATGTAATTATAAATTAATTTGTATTGCATTTAGATTTATTTGACTTCTTCATTTTGAGTGCTTCCACTTTTGTAAATGTTTTTTACAATTTCTTTCTTTTCTACTTTTCAAAACAATGCAGTATTATTCTTTTCCACTTTCCACTGTTGCACCTTTGTTGAAATTCTTCTCTCTTCTTCTTATATAGACATAACTCTGTCTGTTTTTCAATGTGCCTCCAGTAAGTTGTCGTTTCATAATTTTCGTGGTCTTCCTACTGATCGCCTTCCTATTGGGGAACCGTCTCTTGCCGTCTTTACTACTCTATTTGTTGTCATTCGGCTTATAAGATCGTTCCATTCTACTCTTCTATTTGTTACCCAGTTCTTAATGTTCTCCACCTTGCATTTACGTCGTATATCTGTACTTCCCATAGTGTCTTACCATCAATTTTTCCAAGTGTTTTCATTTCTGCTGTTTCTAACATCCTGTTTGTTCTCTCTGTGTCAGGTCTTGTTTCTACCGCGTATGTCATTGGTCTGATGACTAAATTCTGCCTTTCGTTTCTTTCTAATATTTTTATTTCTCTATATTGTTTCATTTAGGCAGCCTACGGCTCTGTTTGCTCTATTCACTTGATCTTTCACTTCGGTTTCGAGCTTTTCGTAGCTAGATAACGTGATGCCTAGATATTTAAACTCCATCACTTGTTCTCTTATCTGACCTTCCAGCTCCAATTTACATCATAGTAAATTTGCTGCAGTAACCATGCATTTTGTTTGTTGAAATTGTAGTGTAGAATTCCCAACTGATGGTTCTCCATTATTTGAATGTAACATTATAGGTACGCGAGTGGTACTAATGAACGAATATATCATAATACCACAGTAATTCTTGAAATATTGAAATGTTAGTACACATACATATTCGATGTTTTTTATCACAACAGACTAGATAATGTATTAAAACATAAATTTAGCCTCAGAATAGCAGCCGTGAGAAATGGTCATAAACTTCAAATATTAGCTCGATACGTAAAGAAAGTAGAAGCTCGCAAAGACGTATTTTTGTATAAACTCCACTACGATACTCGAAGGGTATTAAATGATGAACAAGAAATATTGTTTAAAAATTAAGTAATAAATGTGTTTGTGTAAACTCTACAAAAGACGTGAGGTAACTGACTTACGAACTGTCTATATAAGAAAATTCATATGCCTCAGAAATGTTAGAAATGAAGTCTGCTGGACTTGGACTACATCATTTAATCGTTGTAATGTGGATGCATTTTTTCGAAATTTAAAGGAAGTTTTGAAGCGTTTTGATGGATATTCTGAAGGCATATGCATTTGCAATTTAGATGAAGCATCGACCACAAATGTACAAAAGTCATTAAAGATTCTTGCACCAAAGGGAGTAAAACAAAACATTAAATTACAAGCGGGGAATAAAATATATTAGTTACAACGTGCTGCATTATAATTTCAACAGGTTTGTTTTTACAAAAGTATGACTTGCTACAATACGTAACTATTTCCCTAATATTTCAGGAACTGCACTATCCCCTGTGATGATCTTCCCAAGAGTTAATTTTAAGCATCACATGTTTGTTTTTTTCACATAATAGCTGCTAGTACATTAGGACTTGAAAATTCCCCAGGCTGGATAGTGCAACAACAAACTAAGTTGTTGCACTATCATCATACAGTGACACTGACTCATTTGTATCTGATTCTTCAGATGCTGATCATTCACAAATTTTGAGTTTGGTCGTTATTAGGATTTGCCTGATATTAATTCTTGTGTACTAGTGGAATTTCATGATAAAAAATCAGTTTTTTATGTAGCAAAAATTATTGATGTAAACGACAACGACTTCTAAGTCACATTTTTGTGTCTTGTGTCATAGTGCTAAAACTAAAAACCAATTTTTGTTTCCCGCTGTTGAGGACATATCGCATGTTAATAATAATGACGTTAGATGGATGCTGCCACCAATTCTTAATTGCGGAGGTACAAAACGTCAGAAGTCCTTTATTTCATTTGGCGTCAAGTTCGATAATATAGACATCTGTTGAGAATTTTGATTTAAGGCTGTTTTATCGGTGCACCAAAATTTTTTCTCTGTTATTTACCGACGAAATGTCTCAAAATTTGGACATGTTATACGAAATTATATTGCCTTTAAACTGATGGTTTTACTTTTTTTATTTTTTTGAATTTTCTGTTGAAAAATTGGATTATACTGTTTAACGTTCTATTATAACCAAACTTTTCACGCCCATCAGTTGAAAGAGTTTTTTTTTCTGTAATCGTTGATTCTTTTTTCACCTTTCTGTGTCCAGTAATAATCGAGAAAAGCGTAATCAAACTTTGAAGAAAATTGCTAAAAAATACTGAAATCTAATAGTGAAACGTGTTCCTCATCATTGTCGCTGAGGTTGATCCTTATCGCATTAGTGACGTCAAATCACATGAGCGTACGGTACGGTCTTATTTTTATTTCTCTATGGGTACGGTCAGTTAGTTCGCTTGAATTAGAATCCATTTTAGTTCTTTCATTCTTGTATTTTCTTTATCAACTTGCTTAGTTTTTACAGTTTACAGTATTCTTATTTATTTTGAAAACATTGAAATTATTTAGTTTACGTGTATGTTAAGTAATATATTATTAGTTTAGTGGTATAAGTTAAAAGTTCTTTAGTTTACGCGTATTTTTAAGTATTACATTAGGTTAGTGATATAAGTTATAAGAGACAAGATAAAAAAATGAGTCCCAGTAAACGTCCTATGTCAAGGAAAAGGAGAGCAATTGCACTGCTTTAGTATTTATTATTTATATTACAACCGTTTTTAAAAGCTTTTATTTAACTTCATGCAACTTTTCTAATATGGAGATTATCAAAGAAAAAATGGACGGATTGATAAGTACATTGACTTTTAAATGTCAAATGTGGAATATTGAAAAGGAGATAGCAACATAGGATTCTGGTAACAATTCACTGAACTTGAATGGTTCTGGTTATGCAGACATACAGCAGCAGCACGCTGCATTAAATATACCTGTGATTTCCTACAGGCAGTATGCAAAACATACGGAAACAGTTGCAGATATCATCGGCCAAACACTTTGTGATTCCTTAGAAGAGGCTGGACGGGAGGAATTAGCTTTAGCCAAAGAAATTGGTGAAGTACATTCCGACGGAAATGAGTTAATAACCGTTACAGCTGATGGTGCTTGGTCAAAAAGATCGTATAAAGTAAACTACGATGCTTCTTCAGGTGTAGTACCTGACGTTGTAAAATTTATTAAATTAGTACGCCTTTGATGGATAGGACATGTAATTAGGCGAGATGAAGATGAAACGATCAGAAAAATTTTCGACCGAAGAGGACCAGTGGGAAGACGATCCAGAGGAAGACCAAAACTTAGGTATCAAGATAACATAGAGGATGATCTAAAATCCATCAGAGTTAAAGCATGGAGAAAGTTGCCAGAGGCAGGGGCGAATGGAAGATTGTTCTGAAGAAGCCTTTGGCTCATGACGAGCTGAAATGCCACTGATATGATGAAATAACTATCCACGATTTGTGTTTTATTCATCAATTGGATACTTTTCTTATGTAACTGCAACCCATAAATATATTAAAATAATGTATATTCCATTCAGAGAACTTTTTCCTCGCAGTGCGTCGCCTCGAAATACTTGCCAGATAAATACATTTACTATTATGATGGTTTCGCGGGTACCAATTTTTTATAGATAAATAAAAATATTTTTTGTTTAATTTTTATTACGCTAATATCAGTTTTCTCTAACAAATATTAACAAAATATTAATTATATATTAATATTAATATAACAAAATTTAAACTTATTATAAATAAACACCATGGTGTTTTTTGCAGTCACGTTTCACAAATTTTTATTTAATACTATGTTTAGCTAAGACATATAAATTAAAAATGTGATTATTTCTTTTTAAAACATTATCTACGATAATTAATCTAAAAAAAAGTATTCCGACAAAACTAATTTGAATGGAGAATAATGCATTTATTTTAAACAACCCGTGGGCCGGCGCCACTGAATAAACATCCAAACTATTAGAACACTATTAGGAAGTCACGTAGGGTCTGACATAGCAGTGTAGAAAAGTAAGTGATACGCCCACTTCAAATCGCAGTATGCTATAACTGCGAAAACAGCCTTATTCGTTTTGTTGAAGTTTATGTATACAGGGTGGTCCTTAAGTAATTGTACAAAAAGAAACCGTAGATTATTCACTTTAAAATATTACGATTTAAGTCAAGTTGCTTTGATAAAATGTTGATATTAAGAAAGATACAGGGTGTTAAAGTGGAAATTTAAAATTTTATTTTTCGCTATAACTTTTATGTTTGTCAACGTTTATGTATAAAAATTTACAACTGGGTACTATTAAATATCATAAATTATAATTTGATGTATACTTTAATGTAGCTGATAGAGGGCGCCACATATGCCACATATGTGGCATACATTTGCACGTAACTTTCTTGCTCTTTAATACCGACATTTTTAATAAAAAATATTAAACATACGTTATTTTAACAAAAAAAAAAAGGTATACTTGTTAATATCTTCAAAACTCAACAGTTTTCGAGATAATCGCAATTTAGAAATCAACTACATAATTCTGATTTATCGCAATTACTCCAGGCAACGAAAGAAAATTAAAGAAAAACATCAATACTTCTGAATTTTGGTATAAAGTCATAATCAAAACATTTTATTTACAAACCAAATTAAGAAATAGTTAAAGTAAATAAAATTAAACTTTTTGTCAAAGTAAGTGTTCACTATGTCCATCATTTTCTTTAATTCATTTGTCAATACATTCCATAAAATATCGTCTCATATTAAATAGCGTCATTGGTTCTTAGGAAACTGCTGCAGTATTTATTATAAGTGTTATAAGTATAATAATAAATAATTTTTTGAAATGTTTATGAATTAAATAATTATATTAATATCTCACCACAAGAATATGACTACCATGAACAATCCAACGTTCAGGAAAGTTGTATTTAAATACTGTCTCACTTCGCTTTCTCTGTAATGTAATGGTGTACCATCTTGTAGAAACCACATATTTCGCCTTAAATATTATGACAATTCTTTCAATATATCAATAAAATCATTTTATAAAAAATGTAAATAAATCTCGTTATTCAAATTGCAAGATAATTCGCATATCCGTAAAAAATAATTATCAATGGTTCCAAACCATAGGACATGCATTTTAAATATCAATTTTGAATGATGTTTTACGGATATGCGAATTACCTTTCAATTTGAATGGTGAGTTTTATTTACATTCTTTACAAAATGATTTTATTGATTTATTGGAAGAATTGTCATCAAACTAAAGGCGAAATATGTTGTTTCTACAAGATGGTACACCATTACATTACAGAGAAAGCGGAGCGAGACAGTATTTAAATACTTCTTTAAACTTTCCTGAACGTTGGATTGTTCATGGTAGTCATATTCTTGTGGTGAGATATTAATATAATTATTTAATTCATAGACATTTCAAAAAATTACTTACTATTATACTTATAACACTTATAATAAATACTGCAGCAGTTTCTTTAGAACCAATGACGCTATTTAATATGAGACGATATTTTATGGAATGTATTGACAAATGAATTAAATAAAATGGTGGACATAGTGAACACTTACTTTGACAAAAAGTTTAATGTTATTTAGTTTAACTATTTTCTTAATTTGGTTTGTAAATAAAATGTTTTGATTATGACTTTAATTTAATACAAATTAAAATAAAATGTTTGATGTAAAATCCAATTATTCTGTTATTTTATCAAATCCTATTATTAATTATCCTGCTGATATATTTATTTTATTTAATATTTCGTTAATTATTGACTTTATTAAGGTATTTTATAACAAAATTCAGCGATATCAATTTATTCATCAAATTATAATTTCCTCTATTAGCGATATCAAAGTATTCATCAAATTATAATTTCTGATATTAAATAGTACCCAGCTGTAAATTTTTGTATATAAATGTTTACAAACATCAAAGTTATAGCGAAAAATAAAATTTTAAATTTCCACTTTAACACCCTGTATCTCTTTTAATATCAACATATTATTAAAGCAATTTGGCTTAAATCGTAATATTTTTAAGTATAGAATCTGCGGTTTCTTTTTGTACAAATACTTAAGGACCACCCTGTATATGTTATTTGATATTTTGAAATATATGCCGAATCTTTTAAAGAACTTTACTTGTTTTGGATTTGTCTCAAGCTGTACTACTACTTGGGCCAGGTTGAGACAAAAAGTGTTTTTAAAAACAATGAATAAAAAAAACTAGTTTGTGATTAGAAAAGGCTGCTATTTTTGTTTGATTATAAATAATTGTATTTTGAATTTGAACTAAAAAAAATCGGCAATAAACAGCTTATATCACCAAAAATATGAAAAATGTCTCAACGTGGAACACATTCCCTTACGACCGAAGCGTAAATTTGTACTTTGCGCATGCATGAGTCATAGTCGTTTAGATAATCCACTATCTCTACTAAAACTTGGAAATCAAAACGTTAAAAGAAAATAAAAAATGTAATTTTTATTACAATTTATTGCGGTTTATTCCCATCTATAAAAATATTCAATAAATAATATTTCATTAAAAGCATGATCATTTAATTTACAATAAGAGCATGGTCGACGTAATTTAAAAAAATTACTCCTATCTTCATACGTACCACTATTTGATTTGAGACTATCTTTACTGTTTGAATAATTACTCTGTGATTCAATATCATTTGTGGGTAAATTTGATTTAAAATTGACATCGTTTGATGTTTCACTTTTGTTAATTATTATATTCTCTTTTTTTCGAGCTATTTTGTTGGGGTGTCTCTCACATAACCTTGCGTCTTGTGAAAACAACTGAATGGCCTGAGCTGCTGCTTGATCTGGAGTCAGCGGGTTCATCTAAAAAAAAAACAATAAAAAATATAATATCAGCAGGTAATACTAAATGTGTACAGTAAAGACTATTAGAAATAGAACGAGATAAAAAAACCGATGATAGACATAATGTGCATATGTAAAGGAAATGGCAGAATACAGATGGTCTCTAAAAAAAGGACAGATGCCCACGAAGAAGTTGGTGTATGATAACAATTAAGTTAAGTAGTGAAGAACTTGGGAGTGAAGGGGTTGTATTATAGAGGTACAGTGGACGCCAAATATGAAGAACCAGCGCACAAACCGGATTTCGGATATTTAAAAGTCGACACGCCCACTTAAACTTTAACACTTATTCTGGCTTACTGTCAGTAGCGTAACTACTTGTCAGTAACGATGTAATTGTTTGTTTCTTGTGTCTGTATTTGCAAAGTGACTGGTGATTTGGATAATGTCTGCCACCGTGGAAAATAAAAAGTGTAGATCCGTGATATCAGGACAAAGTCTTGAAATAATATTTAATGTATTAAAATATTTTGATAAACCAAAAAAGAAGAGGATACTTTAGAAAATATGAAACGGCAAACTTTATAAGCAACTGGTAAAAATATTATACAGAGTGGCCCAAAAGTCTGGAAACGGCTAATTATCTCGTAAAATGCTAATAATAATTGTACAAAATTTGAGGTACACCTATTTTGGGATACGGAGATTCCATATTTGATATTTACAATGTTGCCAGATTTGCCGTTTTTCTTATATTATTAGTAACTTTGGTTTTTCAAATACATCACCCTGTATATTCAGTCATTATTGGAATCTCCTATTCAATACGAGTTTAACCATATGTAACACTTATGATTTTATGTAATCTGGAAGGTCATAAATACATAAAACCGAAGTCTGGCAACGCCTAAATTGTTTCAATAAATTTTTTAATACTTACTATTTTCAAAAACATTAAAACGTAACAATTGATAGTTTAGAACAATTTTTAACATAGTAGTTACGTTATTAAGTGTTCAAAATGTGCTCAATTTGTGAGTTGACAGCACCCTAATCGATGCTGGAAGGCGTCTACCACATTTCTCCATGATTGTCAATTCTACCTTGTCTACCAATTTATCGTCCAGGAAATATCTCATCTAAATATCGCCGAACATTTACACCAACTATCTGACGTTAAATTTCTTTCGACAAAAAATGACCCAATTTAATACGTAACTACTATATATAGACCATACATTTAATTTTTGTGGTCTTTGAGTATGGTTTTCACGCATTCAGTCTTCAGTGTAAATTTACGTCACACCAGTACCTTAAATTGTGTCGATTTACACTCCCACACAGTGTAAAAGTTGCTTCATCGGAAAAACATATTCTGTTAACGAAATTTTAATAATTTTCAATTTTATCCATCATTACCTCAGTAAACTCTAATCTACGACCAAAGTCATCTTCACTTAATTCTTGTAATAAGTTAATTTTGTATGATTTAAATTTATTTTTACGTAATAAACGTAAGACTGAAGAATGACCTACATCATGTACTTGTGCAACCCTGCCTGGGGATGTATGTGGATCTTCAACAAAACTTTGCTTATATCTGAAGTTTTGTTGTCATTGATAACTCGTTTCGGTCAACCTGATCGGTATCTATCTTTTACTTCTCCAGATTCCTCAAATCGCCTTACAGTTTTTTTACCGTCGGCTTATGAATAGGAGAACGGTTTAGAGAACGACATTTTAGAGAAGCAATTTAAATTGCAGAACTTTTTGAACCACAACTACTGTCAATTTTAGTTCATAATTTAAATTGTGAACAAATGTCAAAATCACAGCATTCTCCATTTAAATATTTAGATTTATTAAAATCTACATATTTTGCACTGTTTTATGTATTTAAGATCTTTCAGACTACATAAAATCAAGTGCACATATGGTTGAACTCGTATGTAAAGTAGTCGCAGGAACTGAAAAAGTTTCTTTTCCAGTCCAAGAAAAAACTTCGTTGAGAACTCAACAAGTACGAAGCTGCCTGAATATCAAATTAGGGACATTTGCCGAATAATATATGATTTTCATAAAACAGAAAAGTGTCGTGTTATTGTTAAACGGTTAAATATTAAAATTAAGGAAGAGTTAGATACCCATATGTCAGAAACTTCATTAAGAAGAGTTCTTAAAAAAAATGCAATTAGATGGGAAAAAACACAAAATAATCGTAAAATTTAGGTGGAAAAAATGGAAATAAGAACTTTAACAGTAAACATTTCAAAAGACAAAATAGACCAATGGTTTATTTAGATGAAACATATACACAGTGGACAGACTTCATCGAGAAATTGGACAGACGATTTCACAAAAGGTTTATGTTCTGTTATTTCTAAAGGCCAAAGGCTTATAACAGTTCACGATAGAGGAGAAATGAGGTTTATTAAAAATAGTTTGTTGATATTCAAATCAGGGACCACATCAGATTATCATTCCGAAATGAATTCGGTAAATTACGAAAAATGGTTAAGAGAGAAGTTAATACCCAACGTACCAATTAATTCAGTAAGAGTTGGAGATAATGCTAGTAATCACAATGTACAGATAAATCGAGCGCCTAATTCCAATTGTTTGCAGAATGAAATGATTAAATGGTTGACACAAAACAATAAATCAACATACTCCACCAAGTTTAAAACCAGAATTATATGAACTCATTAAATTTCATAAGGACCGATATGTAACATACGCATGTGATTAGTTGTACCGAGAATACGGCCACACCGGTTTACGGTTACCCCCGTATCATCCAGACTTGAACCCAATCGAATTAATTTTGGCAACGGTTACGAATAATGTCAGTCAAAGGAATGTCACGTTTAAACTTAAGGGCGTAAGAAAATTAGCAGAAGACTGTGATTCTTCTTCTGACGAAGACATGAATATTATTTGTGTAGAATATTGTTAATACTTGTAAATAATTTAAGTTGTTATACTTTTGAAGATGATTATTAGTTTTTTAAGGTGTGTTGTAATATATTTAACTAAAATATATATAACTCTGTATTAGTTTATTAGTTTTTGTTAACAGTGAAAAACGTAAGCTCGTACGTTATAATTTAATGAGAAAACTCATACGTTCTTTAATATCAATAATGGTCTAAGAAATTAACTCACGCTGGCGTGCCTTCTCTTTAATATTGCCTTGGAAAAGGCAGTCATGCAGATAAATATTAGATTGAATGAAACCTGATATATTTTGGTTGCTAAAAACCCTCAAAATGTTTAACATAACAGAGAATCCAAATTAATAACTATACCTTTGAGCAAGTCAAAGAATTCACGTATCTTGGATCGATGATAAACATAAAAAACACGACAAGCGAAGAAGTAAATAGACGAATAGCAACAGCAAACAGAACTCTCCACAGTCTTCAGATACATCTGACAAACAAAAATCTAAAACGTGTAGTAGAGCTCAAGCTAGAGAACTGCTAAAGACTGTTAAGCATCGAAAAATGTCTTACCTGGGACATATAGTAAGGGGAAGTCGATATAAAATATTACAACTGATCCTTAAAGGCAAAATAGAGGGTCGTAGAGGGGTAGGAAGAAAACAAGTTTCTTGGTTAAAAAACATTCGTGAATGGACTCAGATATCAAATGCAGGACAATTATTCCATATTGCAGAAGATCGAGAAGCCTTCGCAATGATGATCGCCAACGTCGGATAATTCTGATATGGCACGCAAGAAGAAAAAAGCTCAACATTTTCCAGACCTTGATAAAACCAGTTTTAATCCAGATATCGTGAAATTTATTAAAGTGCAGAGACTTAGATGGACTGGACACATCGCTAGGATGTCAGATAATGGGTGCACGAAGAGATTGACATTCTCAAACCCAGAGAGCAGAAGAAGTAGAGGACGATCGCATAAAAGATGGATTGATGATGTAGAAGAACACTTTAAGCACGAAGGATTGTTAAGCCAATTATGATGACTTTAATTAACTTGGTTAGGACACACATAATTATCCTTTGATAAGGCCAGACATTTTTTATTCTTTTTATCAGTAAAGAAAAAATTATACACACTTTCTTTTATATAAAAAGTAATTCCTGTTTGTCTCCCTTATCAATTTTTTTATAGCTTTTTGCAATTATTACTACAAATATATTATTAGGAACAACAGAATTATAAAGTTTGATTTTTTAATTTTTGTACCACCTTAGTGTTATGACTTAGGGTGTTCTATACCCTGTCAGCTGTCTGTAATTAAATTTACATGTGAATTTAAAAAGTTAATTAATAAAAAGTTCAATACCTTTGCTTTTCCAAAATATAATAATCATAACATATTAGTACCAGATATATAATAAATAAACCAATTCAAAGCTATATAAACAGTCTGTGGAGAAAACCAATTATTTTTATTTAGGTGTGCAGGCTAAAAATACAGTTTTATCAAGGCAGCAAAAGCAAGGTTAACATACCAAAACAAAGAATTTGGCACAATTTTACTATTAGATCGAGCATTTTGATTTTTCAACAAAATAAGATTTATTAATGTAATACATTTCTGTATAAAAGAGGTTAACTAAATGTGTTAGCAATTCGTTTTAACGACATTTAGAATTTATTTTAAAAAACTTAATAAGTAGTTTTTAACTATATGATTAGTACTTATTTTATGTAGATATGTATGTAGAATATGTTATTTTGCAGGAAGTATCACATAAATTTTAGAAGAAAGAAATTTAGTTTGCTTGTCATTAATTATCACTTTCTCATTACGATCATAGCCGCCGCCACACCAGGTGCCGTGGAACTCGCACTAACTTTCGAGGAGCACAAAAATTTGGATCGTTCAATTCTAGAAACAACTAATCTTTGAACATTTTGAGTAATATTAAATAGATCTTCAAATCCAAAAGAAAAAAGAGGCTGAACTGAAAGCCAGAGAGAACCAGGGACAATCAATTTATATTATATAAAGAAACTAATTGATATAATTTCAGTTCTGGTAAA